TATACTCGAAATGACCATATTTTGTTACAAAGGCGATTTTTGGTATGTCTTCAGCCTTAACTCTGACTTGGTGATATCCTTGGTTACATGTAAATCAGATGTTGAAAACATGTAACTCCAGCAACGGAGTCTAAGCAGTCTTGAATCTTAGGAAGTGGAAAAGCGTCTTTGACCGTCTAGTTGTTTACTTTACGATACACATACTCGTATCTTTCCATTTTTGTCCTGCTAAAACCAGTGGTGAAGCCCGCTGGGATGTAGAATGCTACATATAATGCCCCTCTCTTTTATGTTGATTATAGCGTCTCTTCCTTCATCAACTAATATAGAAACTTTACAAGGTGGCTGCTTTATGGCCTACTGTCTCCTATATCTTTAACATGTTCAAATAAATCTGTTTGAGCCAAATCCCATTTATCCCTAGAGAAAGTTTCTTGATATTGTCTCAAAAATGTTAGGAAGGTTTCCTTTTCGGTCTCACTTAGCAACTGCGAGGAAGCCTCGTAAAGTAGGTCTAAATGCTTCGGTATAACACAGGCCATGGAATTTTCATCACCAAGCGCGGCTTGCTGGAACACCTCCGTGGCTTTGTCAGATTGCCGACCTGCTGGACCCTTCCTACGACATCAAAGAACTCGCCCACAGTACCCATAACTGTATCTGGATAAATTATATTGGTCTCATTACATGGACTGAGGATGCGCAGGGAAACAATTGTCTTCCCTCTAATGTTCACTACAGATAGCGCCATCATCAAAGGATGCTTTCTCTATTAAATCTTCGCTAGGCTCAAATAGAAGGTTCGCCACATACATCCTCTTCGTGTGCCCTCTGTATAAAAATAGGTTTAACCTGATATCTCAGACTTGACCACACATGAAATATATGGAGATAACGAACAGTATTCAAGCTCAAAGTCCATTAGACAATACAAAATAGGAGCAGAGCAAACACGGACCTCCAAACATCAGAGGTGGGATCAGGTGCCATGGAGGAGTGAGCATCCCCTGCCGACCGGTCACACCCGCCGTGTGCTCCTTGTCATGATTGGGAAATAACGGAAAAATCCGTCGACAATTCAGTGTGTAAATAATGGCCTAACAATTAGTATGAAAAACGTCAGTCAGCATTTGACTCAATGATAAATTGTATTTGCTGACAAGGTCATTGTATCAACCATTGAACTTACGAAATGATGACTTTAAACGATACAGCTGATATTCTTGTTTCATCAACTTATTTGTCAGTAATTTACCTCGTTTTAGAAATTGTACATACGTAGAGCATGCTCTTGCGTATCGAATCAACTGAGAGATATATACCCCGTATGCAGGTGATGAAGGTATATTGCTGCATAAGTAAGGGAAGTTGACGATTGAAAAGTTAAAGTCATCACGTTTATCATAAAGCTTGGTTGTTAGATTACCATTAACGTCTTTTTCAAGTAAAATATCCAAATATGAAACAGATGTGTCAGACTCTGTGGTATCTTTTATCTCAAGTTCACCAGGATATATCGTATCGACATAAGAATGAAAATAGCCATTGTTAATTGACAATACGTCGTCGATATATCTAAATGTCGAGTTGAACGCCACAGCAAGTGTTTTCTTCTTTTCACGTACAAGATTTTGGACAAATTCTGCTTCATATGAATACAAAAAAAGGTCTGCTAATAACGGGGCGCAATTGGTACCCATAGAAATTCCAATAGATTGTTGGAAGACCTGGTCTCCAAAAATCACATAGATATTGTCAATCAGAAACTCAAGCATCTTTTTAATGTCAACTTCAGAGTACTTGTGTGTACAATCAGAATGTTTTTTAAGAAAATAATTTTGCAAATGACCAATGACAAGGTAAGTATATTTACGAATTCCATTTTTATTGAAAAAGCAGCTGTCAATGATATCAAAAAGCCTGGACTTTAATTTATCGTGGGGAATGGTTGTGTATAAAGTTGAAAAGTCGTAAGTTTTTAAGCTGTTGATTTTGGTAAAATCTTATGATTTCAAATTTTCCAAAAGTTCCTTGGAATTTTTAAGTATCCACATCTGATTTACACCACTTCTCGAATATATTGTTGCACAGTACTCTTGAAGTTTCTCCTTCACCACTGTTAATATCTTAGTGAGGAGTAAAGATAGAGGCTTGGTTGAACATTTACTGGAACCCGCTATGTATCTTTGTTTGTAAGGATTTTTATGAAGTTTCGGAATCCAATCTCACATCTGAGAGTAATACCGTCTTGTACCGTCTTGCATACCCTGCTGTATATATGGGATTTCATGACTTTGAAACAGTATCACCCTTTACTGAGCAATATATCTGCTTTTCCACTGGATAGGTTCTGTAAAATGTTAACACCAAGTAACATTTAATCTTGCATATCTGCTACCAAGAATTTTTTCTCCAACGACAGTGTTCCAAGTTGTAGGTCAAATATTCCCTTCCCGTAAACACGTATAGATGATCCTTCAGATCCTTGTAGACTTGATGTTCCTCTTAGTTTATGTCTGTTGGTCTTGGCAAGCTTAGCGAACACTCTGTATGATATAGTGTGAGACGCACCAGTATCTACCCCATTTATTTTCCCCCGAATATACACTCCATCAGCATGTGGTAAACGATTTGAAACAAAATAATAATCTTGTTGATTTGTAATTGGGTCAAAACTGTCCGTCTGTCGGTCAGTTTCCTGGGAAACCGGCTCTTGACCCTCAATGACGGCTAATCCTGGTTTAAAGGCTTAGTGGTAGGCTTCTGTAGCTCCTGAATCCTAAGAGGACACCCCTTATAAAATGGTCTCCACTTTTATAGTAGTAGCCTTTACACTGCATTTGTCCATTTCCAGCTGCTACGTGATTGCGAGTCACGCCTGTCTGGGATCTAGCATTGTTTGCAGCATAAGGCCGTAAACTTAAACGGATCCCACCGTGGATGCCAAAATTGTAACGCTCGAAACGCCTGCCTTGAGTTGAGAACAAAAACTCCGATATAAAGTTCATAATTTTATTCAGTAATACAACAGCGAAAATAAATAACAGTGTGTAAAATTGACAAGTCTTAACCCTTTGGACAAAAGACAAAAATCAGTACAACTACTGATACGAACAGATATAAACTGACACTATTTCCAGTAAATTATTAACACTGATGTATATATTCCCCCGACCAAACTAAAACAAAAACGCTCTCTTTAAATGACTTCATTTACAAATAAAGTATTCCCGGTACTAGTTCAACTACTAGCACGCAGCAGAAATATTCCCAAACTTTTAAAGAAAATAGAAATAACTAGTTCTTAACTAGTAATAATAAATAAAACTAGCACAACGACTAGTAATATTAAATTAGCCTAGCACTTTATATGTACTTCAGCCACTTAGATACTGAAATAGTACACACCTTAATCTGGACAAATACCGGCGACCGTTCTTCGGAACACAAAGGAAAGGAGAGAGCACCCGATATTCAGCGTCTGTGTATTTATAGAACTTCCAAAACCCGCAATAATTAATAACCAATCATAACTAATAATTCCATCCCGTAATTAATCATAGCCAATCATACATAATTATCATCCATTAACGAAATCTCACTCTCGTATATCATATGTAAAATTATTACAATACGTAAATAAATTTATAAAATATAAGTTTACACTTCAAAAGCAACATTCAATTAAAAAGAATTTACAATCAAATAGGGTTTATGGAAAATATGTAGGAAAGGCTCAGACAAGATTTCTTGGACTAAAAATTGCTGGACTAATCGGTGCTCATCACATAATAGGACAAATAAATACTTTGAAAGTAAATACATGTATGTTCCAGGTACTTTCATGGTACCAAATTCAAGAAATCTACTAGGAAATATAGGTGAGTGTATATACATGTATAGTATAAATGTTGATTGAACGTCGAAAAGGACGTCAGAATTTGGTATGTTTAGCATACTAGAAAGTCTTTTTCTCGAACGAGAACATCGGAATATATTATAAAGGGCTTCTTTGAGAGGACTTTTCAAAGAAAATTTGCACGTATGGCTAGATGAAGACTGAAGGAATGTTACAGTAAATCAGAAATTCCATATTTCATCCTGTGGTTTGTTAATACATGTAACCACGATTTATGAAAGATTACATGTAGTTAATCATTATTAAACGTCCATAGGGGATTGGCTGGACTTTCGGACTATTATATACATGTACATGTACTATATAGCTCTCCAGTCTCCACTGAATTACTTTATAAAACTGAAGTATGCAGTTCTCTTTACGGATCTTAAGTAACAGGACTTTGACCCGTTATAAATAAAACGTTCAAAAATGTTTCTGAAGTGTTAATCAGTAAAGGGGCTAACCTTATATTGTAGTCAAGGGCATCCTAGCTTATTATTTCTCTTTGATTAACATCAATAACCAGTAATATTGAGCAAACATTATATTTTCTCAAACAAATACGCCGTCGTAACGAAAGTCTTATTTGAAACGCGATGCAAGATGCGCATTTTTAAGCAATTGTGGTTCATAGCATGGAACAGCGCGCACAGATGTCACGATAAGACGATAGGAATGGAGATGTTAATTAAATAAAGACACCCTGTATTGATTTCTCGGCATGCACATGGATTGTCAAATTTATTTATTTGTATGTGCTTATAATATGTGAATTAGTTATTATTTCCTACAGAGCACATATTGATTTATAGCAGTTGGGACAACGTCCTCTGTATCCTATAATGACTAAATGTTAACTTGAAATGTTGCATAAATATTTCATATCTTTGCCGGTGTGTAGTATAATTTTTCATAGGCAATGTGTTCGTTTTTATATTAATTTTTATGAACATTATTTTTATGAAGTGCAGTGGCTTTCAATTTTAGATCAAAGATTTGGGGGAAAATCTTACTTCATGTTACATGCGAGATCAGAATGCAACGATTCAGCAATTTTATTATATATTTAGCTTTCTTAAGTGTTTTAATGCTCTCGTATATGTATTCTAAATTAGAGACACGAAACCAGATGTATTCCCAAATGTTGAACAAGGGAAAGAAATCTATGCTTAAGGATGTAAAAAGGATTTTCAAATTTAATACAAAATATCCCGTGACTTTACATGGAAGATATATTATTAACAATAAAAATATGTGCCGAAATCACAAGAGGATATCAGCACTTGTTATGGTACATACCGCCATCTGGCATTTTGGAACGAGAGAAGAAATGAGAGCTACCTGGCTTAATATTACCCAGTACCGACCAGAAGTTGTTCGTGTTATATTTCTAGTAGGGACAACAAAAAGAAAAAAAAGTCAAGAAAGGTTATTTGAAGAGAGTGAAAAATACAACGATATCATTCAGGGAGATTTCAAAGACACTTATAGGAACTTGACAAACAAAGGAGTCCTGGGATTGAAATGGGTTACTGAAAACTGTATGAACGCTGAAATAATCATGAAGATTGACGACGATTCATTTATTAACCTTTTCAAGTTCTTCCACAATTTTATATATTTGAGAAAACGAAAGAACTTTCTTTTCTGTAATGTTTGGCATAAAAATAGCGTGAAAATTGAACGCGATAGAAACAGCAAATGGTTTGTGAGCAATAGATTTTTCAGAGGATACAACGCCTACCCTTACACTTACTGCAGTGGATTTGCTGTTTTTATTTCTACAGATCTGATTCCAGCATTATTTAAGGCCGCAAGCACAGCTCCTTTTTTCTGGGTTGATGACGTGTATCTGTTTGGAATTCTGCCTTCCCGTGTGAACAAAGTGGTGTATAGACCAATGGCACAATATTTCACTTTTAATCACTCCAGAGCACTTGATTGTTATAGGGAGTTTAATGGAAAATGTAAATATCTTGTCATGCAGGCAAAGCGTGGTCAAATTCGCGACATGTGGAATGCTATTGTACACGACAGAATATGAATTCGATGATTTATAAAATACAATAAAAGTTGTATTATCTTGATGTTGAATATCCTAAAATCTTGTCTATCATGATGTTCACGAAAAGTCCCTTTCATTAAATCTCATTGTTTAAAATGTTCTTATCCATATTATTTTCTAATCCGGGGAATATCTGTTAAGATTAGACAAATTTCACTGTATAATCAAAATTGCATTGTTTCTGTGTTATGTTTCAATTGATGGTAAAAACAAACTATAATTACTGAAACAAAACACAAAACGAACAACACCTGCTTATATTTGAAAATTTTCTGAATCTTAAATTTTTTATTCTGTGAAAAGTATAATTTTTTTACCTATTGATTGATAAATTTAATTCAAGTCTTAATTTGATAATTCTAATTACTAACTCGGTGAATAATACATGCATATAATAAATAACTCTTCGTAGCTAAAGAAGCTTCTCCAACTCACCACAATGCATCATAACATATTATAGACATTGTCTCTATTTGATAGAAAAATCAACCCAATTCAAGCAAACATAATAGCGAAATAATACAGTCGTCATCGATTCACTATGGTTTAACGTTTGGATAATATAATACAGTTTTAAATCAGGCCCGTAGGAAGCAATTTCAGTTTGGGGGGGGGGGGGGGGCACAGCCATACATTTTCAGTTGAGGGGGCACTATCAACTACCAAAAAAAAAAATTCTTCACAAGCAAAAAAAAAGGTAATCAAACGTATTCATTGAGGGGGCACAAGCATATATTAGCTATATTTTCTATAGTAATCTTTATATATCGGCAAAATTAGGGGGGGGGGGGGCACGGCCCTCCGTACCCCCCGGTTCCTACGGCCATGCAAATGACAAAACTGTCTATACTTAATAAGGGTGTGGGAAAATCACATAACTAATTTGTACCCTCTGCCTCCTAGGACATCATCCCACTCCCGCCGAAATATGGCTGAAATATTGCCAACTCGGCGTAAAACAACAATAATCAATCAATCAACCTAGGACATCAACCATCTCTAATAGCAAACACACATATAGAGATAAAGACATACAAACTAATAACAAACACACATATAGAGATAAAGACATACAAACTCCAATTACAACAATATTGTAATCATTTTCTCTCAATTTTGTTTCGGTACAAATCACAGGACTTTGGATCGCTTAAATCCGACTTTAAAAAATTGGGTGTATAAAAAAGATAAAAGTATGGAACTCCTTACATAGGGTACCCACTTTCGCTAATAAAATACTTTTAAATCAAATGCTCTAAAGTTTTACTTTTTATTCATATCTATTTATATATAATCAATCTACATTAGAGTCCAAGTTCATTCCGAAATTCTATGCATTTCCCGAGATATGGTGAAATCAATTCCCAATCTGATTAAAATCAGCTGTTCTGATACGCTACCGCTTACGAACATCTGAATCAACTCGTTTGGAGGTCACGTCCGAACGACCTGAAAATCTAAATATTTAAAAACCAGGTCATGACCTTTTGGATCAATGAAAATGCACGTTTCTTAATCAGCGTCGGGAGAAGACAGAAAATGGCGGCGGATTCGATTAAAAAAGTGTTAAAGTTGTTTAACATCACAAACATAAAGGAAGAGCAGAAACAGATCTTAAATTTGCTTTTAAAAGGAGAGGACTGCATAGCAGTATTGCCCACAGGTTACGGTAAATCATTGCCGTACCAGATGTTGATCCCTAAAAGAAGAGAAATGAACACCGACGACAACAGTAAAGTCATCGTATGCTCTCCATTAATTGCCTTAATGCGTGAGCAGTGCGAAAGGTTAAACAGTATCCCAGGCATAACGGCTGTTTACAAAGGTTTGTTGACGGTTTTTAAACTTTAGTTAATGAGGGAACATTGAGTTATTTTCACATTACTCTTTAGTACAACAGGTCTGGTACAATCAGTACATTTAGCTACGTAGCTTGAATTACCTACATACCTGAAGTAGCTTTATTTAGCTACTAAATCAAACTTATTTCTTAAATTAGCATTTTTCCCAGAAAGTGCAGAAAATTTCACTTTGATGCAGTGATAATTTTCAACTTTGAACTCCTCTGAAAACTATTCATGAAAAAAATCACTCTTGGAGATGCGTCTTTTTCTGCGCAATTGCAATCAAAGTTCTAAAAGTTTTGGGGTTATATACAACAGTTAATTTGGGACCTAACAGTTACTTCTTCAGTGAAATAACAAAGAAAACCAGTTTTGGTTAACATGGGCACAATGTGAAGTAATCATACTTATCCACACCTCATTGCACACAAAGGTGGTGTACAGTTACTCAAACAATGGAAATATATATTTTCCTTAAAAGTGTTCAAATGCAGCAATGTTAAAACTATCTCTTCTTTAGATTGCTTTTTAAATAATACCTGGAATAAATATTAGTAGACATTTACTTGCGACTCTTTGTCTTTTTAAAATAAAAAGCAAAATTGTGAAAGGTTGCCTTAAAATAGCTAAATAAAGCTACCTGAGGTAGGTAAATAAAGCTACGGTAGGTAACTTTAGTTACGTAGCTAAATGTACTGATTGTACTGGACCTGTACATGTACATGTAGATCTATATGAGACCCCAATCCTCCCCCTAGCTCTAGGTCAAGTATGGTAATTTGTTCTGTCTGTGTTACAATCTCAAAACATAAATTATTTGATAAAACTTGCCCCCCCCCTCCCAGGTGCATAAATTTGATGAACCATACTCCTTGACTTATGACATATTTAAATGATATCTACTGGGCCATGTTTTAAAACATAAAAATTATTTAATATGAGCAAGAACACAATGAAGATCCATTTCAATTGCTCATGAAAACATAATTTTTACAAATAAAATGGAATTAAATTTTAATACAATTTAATAAATCATTTTTTTTGCTATAGGTGGCAGTCAGGATAATGACCTACAGAAATTTAATGTGTCCACTATAGTTGTGGATGAATTCCATACAATTTCAACCTGGTAAGCATAAACATTCTTATTAAGCATGTATTAAAGAAAACTGAAATTTAAATTAAAGAACACCTATTATTAGAATTTTTTAAAACCAGACAATTAATTTCAAATTCAGAGTAAGTGAACATTCTTTAGAAATTAAAAATGGTAAACAGATTAATCAGAGATCGCACAAAATACATGTAATATGTGTTTTAAATTTTAGGGGTGAAGAGGAAGGCAAACAAGCATTTCGAAAATGGTTTTCACATATTGGAGAACTGCGGTCGATTCATCCAAAGGCATCTATTCTTGCTCTAAGTGCTACATGTACGAAAAAAATTTCGAAAAGAGTGTCAAAAATCCTTGAACTGCAAGCAGACACCATTGAAATCAGAATTTCGCCAGATAAAGAAAATATCAAACTTGTAGTGAAAAAGATCCCGAACATAACTGAAATGGCTATGGTTTGGGTAATTGATGCATTGTGCGACAAAACTTTACCAAGGACCATTCTCTACTGCAGTTCCATTAAGGATGCTTCCAACCTGTATTCCTACATTATTACGAAACTTCCAAAGTGTGCCGAGGTGCAGATGTTTCATTCAGAGACACCTGAGGACATCAAAACAAAAATTTTGAATGAACTATCAGACGAAGAAAGCACAACAAAACTTGTGATAGCCACAAGTGCATTAGGCATGGGAGTAGACATACTTAAATATTCAAATGTCATCCTATATGGTGCCCCAAAAAGCATTGTTGACATTGTGCAGGAAATTGGGAGAGTGGGTCGTGATGGGATGGAAGCTGTAGCACTTTTGCTACACAATTCTTACCATCTGAGAACAGTTGATAGTGAGGTGAAGGACTTTTTCAAAACAACAGAATGTAGACGTTTATCAATGTTGGCACCATTTCTTTCAGAAGGTGAACTTTCAGAACAAAAGGAAAAGACAAGATCACATTCATGCTGTGACCTGTGTGCTGACAAATGTGACTGTGGATCTTGTGATCTGACCCCTTTGGAAAAACTTTTCAACGTTGATATTGAGGAATTAAGTGACTTTAGTGATCAGAATTCATCAGACACTGAATGCTATTATAGTTCTCGCGAGGAAGACAACCTTGACACTCATTTTTTCCGATTAAGTACAAAGAATTGCTAAGATATGTGTTATGTATTAAATCAGGCTTGTAGAAAGCAAAAGGGGGGGGGGGGGGTGTTACAATGAGTGTGAATGTACAAAGGAGAAGGCTCGGACACTTTCTTGAACTGTCTACAAGTTAAGGTGACAGTGAACACTGAACCAGAATAAAACAATAACTTTTCTACTGTTTCATTTTTGTTTTTACTTTAATATATTTTGTACACTTATGGACAAGAGAGTTACAGATAAACTTAAAAAATACATGTTTATATTAGTAAAAAAAGCTTTACCAAATAAAGGTTTATTTTTCCTTCAAAGTACCTCAATAATTTCCATTAGTGATTTTTAAAAAAGCACTGGTAAGGCCAAAAAAAATAATAGTCTTGTTTCCTGCTACCAGCCTGAAAAAAATAGGGTAGGTAGGTAGGAAAATTATTTTATTTTATATTTTTATTTTATATTTTTCCCAACAACATTTTTTGGATATGAACTAATAAAAGATAAAATTAAACATGTCACAGGTCAATATTGTCTTTCAAAATCAAATTTCATATCTTTCTATGCACAACTCAAGTGGTATTCTATGAAAGTCCATATTTAAAACAAGAATTTCATGAAATGCTTGTTTGTGTTAACACGGAAAACGATTGCGGTGACAGAACACTGAAATTTTGGAAATTCTCTATTTTTTTTTTCTTCCAAAACTTAAAAAAAAAACTTTAGGGTTGGGTGCAAAAAAAATAGGGTAGGTCGGGTAGCAGGAAACAAGACTATTATTTTTTTGGCCTAAAATAAAAAATTGGAACATTGTAAAAAACCTAAAAAAAATTGTACTATTTAGAGACAGATGATATGAACTTCATTCAAAACCAAAATTGATCTATGCATAAATTTTTTTGTGTGTAGCATATGTCCTTAATATTCACCATTTTTAATCATGCAGCTTTAGATACTAGTAATTGGAAAACCCTTTAGCTTTACAATATAGAAACAACAATCTGATAGATATCTCATCTTTATTTTACAATTTTGACTATTGTAACACAAAACTTATCCTAAACTTTTTTTTTTTAGTTATTAAGAATTGTTCAGTATAAATTCTATTTTTTAAACATTTCTAAAAGTGTTTAACATTTCTTGAATCTGTACTCGAGAACTTGCATACATAAATATTGCATACATTATGGCTTCATATGAGATTTTGTAATTGTACACATTTCTAAAATAGATCTGTACATAAAAAAAATTAATGGTTTATGGCCATAACGGATATATAAGGACCCTTTATACACCAATGAAACATATTTTTGGGACATTGAGAAATCTTTGTTGTATAAATAGTCATTTATACCAAGGAAAAAATTATCAAAAATGAAAGTATTGATTAATACAAATTTCTAATGCTTATGTAATACATGTAAAATATAATATACTTATAAAAATTACATATAAAACTTTAAAGAATTGCAATTAAGTCAGAATGAATGGATAACTCCCAAAATGTTTATGGATAACAAAATAAAGTACATAGAATATCATGTATCATTACACAAAAAACTGTTTCTCGTTTTATAGCATAGTGTGGTCACATAATCTACTGAAAGTACTGTATATAGGGAAATTTTCACCCCCGTTTTATTTTCGCCCCTTTCGCCCTAGACACAAGTGGGTAAATTTAAGAAGGGGCGAATTCAAAGAAAAAGTATAACTGTGAATGGGGAAAATTAAAATGGGGCAAAATTGTTCGCAAGTGTGAAAAGACGAAAATAACATGGGGTGAAAATATCCCAGTATACAGTAAGTTGTACCTAAACAGTTTTGTTTCTCAAACGATGGAATGCAACAACAGGTGTGTGTCTATGTACAAGAGTAGCAAACCCTTTAAAACAATCATCAAATATGTTTTTGTTTGTACACAAAGACTTGCATTTTAACTTCCTTCCATCTACAAATGAAAATGCATTAATGTCTTGTAATTCAATCAAAATTTTTTGCACATCTTGTTCGTAAGATGGAAGATTGTGAAATCCTTTTCTGGCCGCAACACTACAAAATGTATCAAAATGCTTTACAAAATTTATAATGTGAGGAAACTCTTTTGAGTGTCGCAGGATACTCTCTTTTGTTTGGTAACCAGAACAAACAATTTTACTGTCCCTGTTTAATAACTCGACATATTCATCTAGGGCAATGTTATTGTTTTTCCCGCCTTGTAAGTTTACACACCTATTGGCAATAAGCCTTTCCTTTTGTTCACCATCCAATATACCTTCTGTTAAAGAAACAAGATGGATTGATCCAAAAGCATACTTAGTTTTGTTTGTTTTAACATAGATTGGTAGCTCATATTTTGCTGACCTCACACTACGGTGTCCATCAGCCATGTCAACTGCTGAGTCTAAATTCTTGTGAAGCATAGCAAGTTTAAATAGCAGTTGACAATAACTTCTCACTTCATCTTTCACTTTTTCACTTGATTTTTTTGTCTCAGGTGTTTTTGCTCCATGAATTTTTTCTTCATGCACTTTCAGAGAACCAACATATGTGTATGATTTTGGACAGAAATGGCAATGTACTCTTCCATTTTCAAGATTGGAAAGATAATAATTTTCAGGATGAGCAATGTCTGTTATGATATCTCGAAGGTCTCTCATAATGTCTGTTTGTGACCCAAAGAAGTATTCTTGCAAAATCTCCTGACATATTCCATTAAGCCAACCAACCTTTTCATCAGATGAGAAGTTTTGAAAGTTATCTGGCATTGGAATTTCTTCATCAGCAGTCTTGTCAAACTTTTGGAAAAACAAGAGACAGCACATTGCATCCAAAATGGTATAGTAGAGAAATTTGTATGGCCGATAAGCATTTCTAACTTCTCCCTTTACATTTGTGGAATTTAATAAATTTCTAAAGTAGTAAGCAGTCCCCCTATCACCTCCTGACCCTGTGCTATAGGTGAGTTTGCAGATTGCCTGAATGAAAATGAAAACTGATTAAGTAACTTTAAAAACAACATAGAACTTTACTTGTTTCAGTGATGCAGATCTCCCAAAAATTGATTGGGACAGTCTCTGTTCATATATTTGATACTAAAAAATTGAAGGCCTACATTAAAGCAGATAGATTGTACATTTACACTTTCAATATTCAATTCTGAATGGTAGGCAATCATAAAACATAAAAGTAAGTTTTTGTAACACCTTTAAAAATTGTCCATAGATAGAAATCTACAATTTAAAAAAGTTCACTATTATTTAGTCTCAAATCTGTAAAAGGTCAGACCCACATTACCATGCTTCAATTAATGCTTGAGTCAATAAATGATCTTGTAATGTACAGTAGCAAGTACATGTACCTCCAAGAAATTCATGAGACGGTGAAAATCTTCTATTTTAGAGATAAATCCTTCAAGTCTTGATTCAGCTGTCTCCCCATTCAGAACGGATTGTTGCACACCTTGTACACGTTCATCTGTTAGTCTATCACCTTAAGAAGAAAATAGTTCATCAAATTTCCCTTAACATCACAATCTTGGTCTAGTAAAACTTTCAAATTATGCAAGTGGTTTAACAATTCAATAAAACAAAACTTCATTAATAAGATTACAGTGTTTTCCAAAAATTTTATAGGAAATATGAAAACATATGTCTTACCACCAAAAAAAACCAGATTCTAATATTTCACCATTTTGGAATGGAACATATTTAGATTGCATATCCCTAAGTAGCTGTATCATATCAGCTGTTTTTGTTTCATTGGTGTCAAATAATCCTAATGGATACTGAAAATAGAAGTTAGAACAATATACAAATTATCCATGATGATGTACATTCTTTTATAAAAAGTATCATCAAAAATAGTACCTGTTTTGTTTTTTCTCCTGCTTGTGCACTATACTGATGGGTGAGATGTACAGGATAAATTTTTTCAAATTCTACTTTCATCTGAGGAACATTCTGGATCACTGAGCTCGCAAAGAGGAAAATCAGTTCATCCATTAACATACCCTGCTCCTCGATCGACGGAATAAATTTCTCTTTATCTATTGATGTGTCTGTTTCCTGGTCTTCTCCATTTCCCATGGGTGCACAAGTAGGGATTATCCTATCTACCACCACAACTATATTGAACAGGTGAAGAGATAAAGTTTTCTGTTGCGATGTCCTGAAAATAAGACATTTTATTAAAAAAATACTGATTTAGTCTGAAAAAGCTTCACCCAATGCCTGTATTCTTTCCAGGTGTCACCTATAGTGACAAAAACTACTCAAAGGAACACCTGTTGTGGCTTTTCTGTGTAAATTTAACAAAAGTATTAATTAAAGGATACTTAAAGTTAAGAACATCTAATACCTAAAGGCTGAGATAATGTTCTTGTCCCAGTTGTCTCCAACCAACTGGTACTTCACATGCCCTCCCTCAGCCCATTCCTTCCTTAACTGAATAATTTCTTCATCCAGTTTATCAATCCAGGATGCTAATTTGTTGTGTACAGATCCAGGGCTGACACAAAGACCAATTTTGGCTAGCCTTTGGATATCCTAGAAGGAAATGACAAATATTGGTGGCATTGCATAAAAGAAATAATTTAATAGTTCATGCTTGATTCAGTTAATATCATTATTGTTACAGTAAAACATGATTATAGCAAACAACCTTATAATGAATTCAAAGCCCAGTGATTTCCATTGTTTTTAAACTTTTTGTGAACTAACCGATATAATAATTTATGTTTATAGCAAATCAAAATTGTTTGTCTCTGGTGCTTTGCTGTATTATCAAATATATTACCCTTTGGGTACATCCACCATGGACAAGCATAAATGCAATGCAGTAATGCAGCCCAGACATTTCCTGACTACGACCATGCCATCCAGTTGCAACTGTGTGTAAAATGTGCATGAATTTCTTTCCTGTTGGTGCTACTGGTACATCACATACAACTGCACTGATCACTTTCAAAACATTGGGGGCTCTAAGTTCCAATTCCTTATGAAATTTATCCCATGTGAAAGACA